TGAACACCTGGTGGCCTCGGCACCTCTTCCACGCCGCCAGAAAGCCAAGGATCCCTGCCTGGAACGAGACAGGAGAATGCACGCGCGCGGGGCACCGCAGCGAAGCCCAAGCCGACTCAGGGATGGAGGCGAATCCAGCAACACAGCGGCAACGGGGAATCGAGGCGAGCCCGTCCAACGTGGCGCGCGAGAGGCTTGCTCGTGCAATGCCCGAGCTCGTTTCTGGAAGGTGTGGATTGCTTGGGGGCGCATGTTGCGCGTCTCCGTGGCCTGGGCCCTGTAGACCGCCGCCAGGTGGAAACGCGCTTGCACAAAGTGTGCTGAGCGAGGGCCGAGGACCGCCACGTTCTCTCGACAGAGCAAAGGCAAGAGCGGGACTAAGGCGCGGCACTCGGCCGCCTCCGCTGATAAGCGCGGTGGCCTTGCCACCTTGGTCGGCCAAAACATCTTGAATGTGAACCGGCCGACCATTGACTTGGACCCTCGCTTCTGGTTGGCCCCCGCCTGGAGGTAGAAAGATCGAATCCGTCTCCGCAAGTGCATCAAGCACTCGTGGTGCGTCTGTGCCGCCCTGCCTTTTGTGCTTCTGGCGAAGTTATGCTTCGCCAGAACCCAGAACCTATACCCAAGCACAAACTGAACTATCCCCAGGCCCATCACGTGCATTCCGCCAACGCACAGGGTCTCGATGCTCACACCCCTGATCTGGAACAGGGTGCAAACGCGGTCTAAGCCTTGATTGTTGCTAGTGTTGAAAAATAAGATCTGTGCGGGCACGACAACTTCTGAAAGGCTGTGTATATCTGGCACGTCCTCGTTCTCGATCAAACGGAATTCATTTCCTAACCTGAACTCTGGCATTGCACGGGTCGTCACCATGCCGCCCAACTTCTCGTTCATTTCCAGATTGGCGACAAGGCGGCGCAAGGCCGCTTCGTCATCTACCCAGAAGTCTTTTCTTTTTTTAACAAAAAATCCGAAATTGTTGCAACAACTTTTTCGAAAATACAAATGGACATTCGTTTGTTGCAGATGTGTCGCTTTAGCATCGCAATCGGTTTTTCTAGCACGGTCATGCCTTGTTAGCTTCAAATTTGAGAAATTACCATTGCAGCGGTGCGCTGGGCCAGGCGGATGCATCCATGGAGCCAGAGGCCTCTGAATGTAGCAGTGCGGCCATGCTCGAGAGGCGGGGATGTCGACGCGCCTCTCACGCGGATCGCGGGGCCAGGCGGGCGCGGGCTTCCGAGTGTAGCAGCGAGGCCCTGAGGGGCCCTGGCCCGTGGGATTTCGACGCACCTCTCACGCGGATCGCGGGGTCAAGCGGACGGGGCCGAACGTCTCCGTCAGCGTCGGCTTTCGGGATAAGCGGCTCGCAATATAAAACTCGAGGCCCGAGGCTCGATGAAGTTGACTTCTAGAGGGGTGGGGGGGGGGGGGGCTGGTGGGCGGTGGGGGTGGTGGTGGTGGTGGGGTGGGGGGGGGGGGGGGGGGTAACTGAGGGGGGCGAGGGCGATGGTGATGAAGGGGGATCCATTTCTTCCACCCCTCTCCCGCCTCCTCATCCCCCCCCCTGCGCCTGCTCTTCCTTCTCATCATCCTCCTTTTCCTCCTCCTCCTCCTCCTCCTCCTCCTCCTCCGTCTCCCCATCCGCTTCCTCATCTTCCTCCTCCCCGGCCCTCCCCCCCCCCCCAGCCTCTCTCATTATGCACCCCTGCTCATTAATTGGATGTTGCTATACTAGCCAACATTCCCTCCCCCGTCCGCCCCCTCATCCCCCATCACATTCGCATTCCCATCCCGCCACTGGCTCCTCCGCACGCCCTCGCCGCCCCCCCTCCCACTCGTCTCTCAGCATTGATGATTGCGGACGGTACGCGAGTTAGTTGATGGGCTTTTCTTTTTTTGGATTGGGGGGGGGGGGGGGAGGGGGGGGGGGGGGGCATGTTCTTGAAGGCATTATTTAAACCATATGTATTATATAGATATCTATATCTATTAATATATATATATAGATTGTGGGGGGTCGTCCACGACGGGGCCGCGACCTGCTAGCAACCCCGCCGCGAATTGTGCCAGTGACGCCTACGTCGGGCAACCGCGAGCCTGCGCCTCTCGGCCTCGAGCTCGCGCCGTGCTAGGGAGACTCCGAATAGCAATGCCAGCGGAATATGCATCGGCACTGGGTCGGGGAGGGGCGGGGGCGGGCACGTCGAAGCTGCGACGGCGGCCGTGGGCGGTCGCCACCTCCACTTCGATATGCCCGAGCCAGTTTCATTCAACCACCCCGCGCCCCCGACCCAATGGCGACGCAGACTCCAATGGCGCCGTCATTTGAAATCGCGCGCCACCTTTGCGGCCATCCGCCCCCTGCCCGCTATGATGTTGCTTATGCTGATCCTGCCCCTGCGAGTCCTACTTCAGCCCCTTGCGGAACTCATCAGGCGGGCCATATTATCTTCGCACGATTGGTCGGGCTCTTTCGGCTAGTCCGGGTGGATTATGCGCTGCGGGGAAGTGGACACTGAGGACGCGGAGGAATGGGCGAGGAGGGGGAGGAGGAGGAGGAGGAGGAGGGGGGGGGAGGAGGAGGAGGGGGAGGAGGAGGCGGAGGAGGGGGAGGAGGAGGAGGAGGAGGAGGAGGAGGAGGAGGAGGAGGAGGAGGAGGAGGAGGAGGAGGAGGGAGCAGTCTCCGAGGAGTAGCACCGCGAAGGGTGGGGCGAATGCACCGCGCAGAATTCGAGCTGACATTGAAACGGGGCGGACGTCTAGGGCATGCCAGTCTTCGATGAGGGGATGTGGTGATCTGGTATGGCGCGAATTCGGAATTCTGGTAAATCTATGTGGCGCGCTCGGCTCGGCGACCCGCGCGGTGACACGGTGCGCCCGCGAGGCGTTCCCGAGGTAGTAGGGCACGGGGGGTTGTAGGGCACGGGCACGCCGCAGGCATGTCGCGGGCATGTCGCGGGCAGGTCGCGGGCAGGTTGCGGGCAGGTCGCGGGCAGGTCGCTGGCAGGTTGTGGGCGGGTCGCGGGCAGGTCGCGGGCAAGTTGCGGGCAGGTCGCGGGCAGGTCGCGGGCAGGTCGCGGGCAGGTATATAGCGGGCATGTCGTGGGTGGGCGCATTGCGATCGACGCGCCATTGGCGACGTTCACGATTTTTCAGATCGCTGCCAGGCGGGGCGAGGTGATGCTGATTGGGGTTAGCGAGGGGGGGGGGGGGGGGGGGGAGGAGGAGGAGAGAGAGGGGGGGGGGGGGGGGGGCGTTTGCGTGGAGGAGGAAGCGGAGACGGGTTATGATGTAGGTTGGCGCAGCTGCCGTGTTCAGACGCACGCAAGGGTTGAAGTTCGCACGAGATGCGGCAGCAGCCGAACCCGAAGAAATATATGTTCCTCCCAGTTTGACCTGTGAGAAACAGCTGCCATGCTAGCGATGCATAAATTCAATGTCTCAGCAACGAACGTACTGTAGTACCACGGGTTTCCATGTCGTCTGATATTCAACGTCATGTGAACCCACATGCGCGATTTGGGAAGGCGCGTGCAACCCAGGCATGTCATCAAATGGAGGCGCCTCAAGCAGAGATCAATGAGTTCTTGGCATTTGCCCAGCGCGATGTTGAACGGCTCTGTTTTGATGGTGTCGATGTACGCCAGAAGAGCAGCGCCAGCTGCCAGCAACAGGTCGCTGTTCTCGAGACGGCCACTCTCCGCGCTGCAGAACGATACAATCCAACGTAAAAGGACTCCCGTCTCAGCTGCTTTCGCCTACATGTACGGATGGCTGTTGGACCCCAGCATCGTAGGCAGCAGCGCGTTGAGCTGGTACGAAAGTTCAATGTCTTTGGCAAAACACCAGCGTTTGTAGCCATTGAACAGCAACCTAACGCTAACATCCTTGACCTCGTCTTTCGTACCAGCAACGTTGTACATGTTAGTGTCAATGACAACTTCCATCACATAATGCACGTATCTGGAGAACACGCCAAGATACAGCGTGTGCATTGTATCGAGCCGCATGGTGGCGTGTGGGGTCGCGCCCACCCCCTCGCTGAAAATCGGATTGCGACAATGTATCCAATCGGTCTTCCTGTTCTTGTTGTCGAAATGGGAACGCCAAAACACTGCTACAAACGGCGTTGGCTGAGTTTCGAAAGTGGCTGCATCGTGGAGGCCAACGCTTGGCACGAGACGATCCCCTTTCAGTAGGCCAGGGCCGATGTGAGGAGCGTCCTGTGTGATGACGCGGCCAAGCTTCTTCTTATGTTTGAGCTTGGCGTGTTCCAGTAGTGCTCTGCGCGTGTCCTCGTCTTCCACGTGGACTTCCACCTCGCAGTTCCTGCAGGCGGCCTCATAGTCCAGCGGGCGATCCCCCCAGTTGTGATTCTCGACCGTGATCCCATTGAAATCGAACATCTTCGCTTTGCGGCACGCACACATGAAGCATGGACAATGGAAACTAGACCACGCCGGGAAACCTAAACTCGTGCAGAACTCTGCCCAATCAGCTTTGATTTGGCAGAGCACGTACCTGTGCTGCAGCGTGCCCGCCTCGCGCTTGCCAACCGAATAAGCAGAATCGCCTGGCCAGTCTGATCCGCCCCAGCGCACGTCAGGTCGATTGCCCTCAGCAGCAGCAGCTAAACTCCATCGCAGATGGTTGGGGCAGCCCCAGAGGGTGTCCCAGCCCCTGCATCCGCAGCGACACATCTCACGCTTGCTCAGAACATACAGGACGTGGCGCTTGTCCGTCGCCATGTTGTAGCCAGTGACGCACGCCAAGCTGTCGGCTCTGCCAGGGCCAATGCTCCTGGTGAACTTGATCCCATCGATGTATATGGCGATGGGGAAGACGCGGCGCTCGTCTCCAGGCTTGACTCGATGGCGGTGGTGCTAGAATGTGCTAGACCATTCGGCTTCAGGCGGTGGTTGGACCGACTCACCTCTCGTGTCCAGCAAAGCCAATTCTGCTTCCAATGCCTCATGCAGCGGAGACACCAGCGTCGGCTTGATGGTTCGCCTGTTTCGAATGGTCATTGGCAGCTGCAGCGCGTTCATCTCTGGCGCTGACTCTTGCAAGGGGAGGTGTTTCCTCAAATGCGCAGCGTACTTCCCTGCCTGGAGATCTGGTGGGCGAGCGATCCTCTTAATGATGTCGTGCTGGACACCTGCTTCTGTGGCGTGGTGCGCCAGGATGCACACTGCCTTGGCATCAAGCGTGCCGTTGGCGTATAGAACCAGGAGCATGTCCGACAGGGAGTCACCCGACTTCTGGCGCGCCACGTGTGCCGACTCCTCATCTGCATCGCGCTTCTCCCATGGCCTGCGGTGCGACGACGATGAAGACGATCGGTCGCTGTAGCGCCTGCGCTTGCGGCGCTTGCCAGGCATGCTGAGCCAAAATGGCTATTGCGAAACGGAGGGTGGTATCGGGTGATTGCGTTCGGCAGGGCGGGGCGGGGCACATGATGTCTCCTATTGTGGCCGCGTGGGCCTCACATTTGGGGCGCGTGCGCCGTCTGGCCGCGCGCGGCCGTTGAATGTTTGTTGTTTTCGTTGTTCCCCCCCCCCCCCCCGTTTTTGTTGTTTTTTTGTTGTTTGTATATGTTTTGTTGATGGGGGGGGTGCAGGGGGCGCGTGATGGGGGGTGCATGCAAGGGGAACGGGGAGTTGACGTGAGTAACAGTGGATAAGGGCGATGGGTCCTCGCCACGATGCGCCCGCATGTCAAGACGTATTTAACACGTGCCATCCTTGCTCACATTGCGCGTGCACCAACCAGTCCAGAGGCAAGCACTGATTGGGGAATGGGCGGTAACACTGCACGTGCACACGTGGAGGTATAAAGAGGAGGCCGCATGGGGGGAGGAGGAGGGTGCGCTTTGCACATCGGTTGCGGTCAAGCCTCAGCGTCAGGGCGCTGGGAGCGAGAAGTGAGGAGAGCAATGGCACGTGCGTGGCGTTCCCTCAACACTTGCACTGCATGGCAAACGCTGTTTGGGGACCTGTCAGCTATGATGCGCCTTGTTTGTATGAGCGGTCGGCGGTGAGAGAAACGGGCGTGCGCCCTTTAAGACATGACAAGCACTGCTCGGGGAATTCGTGAATACAGGAGGAGGGGGGGGAGGGCGAGATTCGGGCTGGGCCTTTTTTATCCGTCGTGCCCAGGACGTAGGAAGAAGACACGGACAGATGAGACAAGGAGGGGGGTGCATGGCAAGCATTGGTTGTGAAATGCCCTAGGGGCGCGATCTTAAACTGCGCGTGCGAGGGGCTGTACATGCCTCGGGTTTCCTGAGAATGCGCCAAGTCATACATGCCAACTTCAGGAGGGGAGAGAGGATGGGAAGCGGGTTGGGCCTTTTTTATCCGTCATGCCCAGGACGTAGGAAGAAGAAGCGGAAAGCGGAGACAAGGAGGAGTGAGGTTACTAAGCATTGGTTGTGGAATGTTCCAGGGACGTGGTCCTAAAGTGCGCGTGTGGGGATGCTACGGTTCTCTGGGAACGCGCCAGGGTAATGCATGCTAGCTTAAGGAGGGGGAGAGGATGAGAAGCGGGCTGGGCCGTTTTTACCCGGCACGCCCAGGACGTTGGAATAATAAACGGGGAGATGGGGCAAGGAGGAGGGGCTTTGCCTGGCAAGCACTGGTTGCGGAGTTGCCAGGGATTCCAACAACGATAATTCTGGCGCGTGTACGCTATATTTGATTGAATGCTGTACCTGTCCTTGGTCTGGAATCCCGTTTGGCGCGCCAGCGATTCTTGTCAGGCTGTCAGTGCCACCCCATCCCACGATCAGTTTATCATCACCGCGCGGATTCGAGGTCGTGTGACGTGCGAGCATCTTATGTGCCATATGGTTGCTCAATGCGCGGGATAACTAACATCCGTGTACATCGTTGTGGCGATAGAACCCACGAGTGGCGGCAATGCGTGCAAACGACTCGCTGCGCGAACCGCGCAGGTGTGCTAGTACGCGTAGCGCACGCGGTGCGCGTCGAGAACACCAGCCCAATCGGTGTTGTGAAACGCGCGTGCTGCCCACACGCGGCTCGCGAGAACGCACGCCGCGAGCCACCGCGTGAGGCCTCGCACAAACCGCTCGCCCATTGCTATCACCGTCGTCGGTTTCTGCCGTCCGTCGTCGTCGTCGTCGTTCGCCATTGTCGGTTTCGGGCGTCGTCCATCCGCCCTTCGCCGTCGTCATCCATCCGTCTGTCCGTCCGTCGCATGCAGTCCGCCAGATGCCGTCGTCATCGTCGTCAGGTCGTTGCGCACCGTTGCTCTTCGCGCCCTGGAGGTGTGCTTGAGTTATGTTCACACGCTGCATGAATGTTACAGTTTGTGGTATCGTTTCTTATTGTGTTACATTATCACGCAGCGCGAATCATAGACGGGCACGTGCGGTTCACTGAGATGCTTCCTGCAAGTTGGCCCCGCGGGGATGTCTCAAGCGACATGCGTTGAATTAAACCATACACTAAACATCGCAATGGTGCGTAATCAACGCGTTGATGCATACCATGCATGACTACGGCTCATCATATATGGCGTAACAGGGCATTCGCTCGATACTGCCCCACTAAGTATTGGCACGCGCGGCGGTTTATATATCCATGACGTTCCGCATCCAGTCAAGACATCATCACAAGTCTGAGCTGTCGATGGGGCCACGGGCGAATGTTGCATCAACCGATCTTGTTTTGCAGACTGCGGGAGGCCCACCAAAAATCTGGAGCCTCGTGAGCCACGCGTGGCTCAAAGTTTACAGGTTGCGAGTGCACTGCCCCTCGAGATCACTGCATGGTCGACGGTCATCGTCGCGTGAGGGTGCTGCACTGCTGCTCGTGGAGCTCATTCCTCGAGGGTGCTGTTCGGCGAAGCCACTGGAGACTCCACGAGGCAGAACTCATCCGCGGATCGCTGGGAAGAGAAGTCTTTCCACTTGGATTCGACCCTCACCTCCCAGCCGTAAGGGATCCAGCTCTCTGGGTTCTTCGGGTCCCATGGGATGGTCGGCTCAAGCCCGTGCTGTGGCTTGGTCGCCGCTGTCGCGCAGTCGATCCAGCCCTTACTGTCCTTGATCTGCCAGCCGTACGGGACCTGCGTCTTCTCGCCCTCTTTGCCCCACCAGTGAAGCGCAGGCGGCGGTGGTGGCTCACGCTTGGTGGAGTCATGCTCGTCCTCCTGCGGCAGCGAGAAGTCACGCTCCATGCCGAAGGGCCCGACGATCGAGGGGTTGCCGTCGTCCATGAGCGCGGTGGCGTACATCAGGTGCGTGATCACCTTGCCGATCTCCTCGAGCTGGCATTTCATCGCCATCACGCTGGTGCTCTGCGCCAGCTGATGCTCCGTCGCGGCACAAGCCTGGGCCTCGCAACGAACAATGGACATCTTGAGCGCGGCCTGGAGCGTCCTCAACTGCGCGAGCCCGTCCTCAACTCGATCCGATACGTCGTAGAACACGTCCGTGGTGGACCGCAGAATTTTCTGCGATGTCTGGAGGCGGAATTGGTCCGTTCCGACCTGCTGCTTGTACGTCTGCTCGTACCCACGGCCCATGCTGCTAGCTGTCGGCACTGCAGATGTCGGTTCGATACTCGCGGGGTCGAACTGGAAAGCGAGTTTGAGCCCAAATGTTTGCGCGTGGATTGGTCGCGAGTGCTGGGGTCGCAAAAAAACGCCTGCCTGCCCGGAATCTGCCCGGAATCTGCCCGCCCCTCTGTTGGGCCACTTTGAATGTTCCGATCCTCCATTCTGAGGTCCCGATCCTCATTCGACCAGCGATCGCGCTTCAGACCGCCAGAAATGACACACAAACGGCACGCGCAGAGACTTTTCACGAGCGCGCGTGCAACATCCCATACCTGCGGCAGCTGCAAGGTTCCACCACGGCACATTCACTTGCCGATGCGCTGTCGGGGGAGCTCGCGCACCTCCCCCCTCCGCTCCGAGCACCTCGTGCGCTCTTCTTGGACAGACGGGCATGCGTCCCCCCTCCATCTGTATACATAAGGCGCGCCTCGCTCTCGGCTGGAGGCGCTCTTGACAGGGCCAGGCGGCGCGGAGGGCAGTGTGAGCGGAGATTGAATTGAGGAAATACGACGCGTCAGGGACGTGGAGGGCGGCATTGGGAAGAGGAGGGCGCGCGGGGGGATCGGAGCGAGGGCCGTGACATCCGAGGGCAGGAATATAATGAGGAGGAGGAGCAGGAGGAGAAGAAAGAGAAGGCTAAAGGGAAGGGCGGCAGGACATGAAAGATGAGGAGCAGGATGAGGAGGAGCAGAAGGACATCAAATGACAGGACGAGAATGATGAGCAGCAGGAGGAGCAGCAGGAGGAGCAGGGAGGACAAGCTGTAAAGAAAAGCAGCAGGAGGGGTTTGGTAAAGGAGGAGGAGGGGGAGTGGAACGAGACCGCCTGGCTCAAGCGGATGTGCCTACTGGCTCGGCTGCTCGAGGTCATCGGCGATTGTCCTGATGCGCTTGGCCGCCTGCTGGAGGTTCTCCAGCGAGCTCTCGACGACCTGCAGGCGACTGAGGGTGCCGTTGACGTCGGCGATCCCACCCGAGTCGCCGCCTTCGATGATGCACTTCTTGAGGCTATCGTCGGCGTTGAGCGCGTCGCTGCACTTCTCCATCGTCCGCTTCAGCTTGCCAAGGAACCTGTCGCAGTGGGCCCACTCCATCCCCTTCTCATGCTCGCACCTCTGCGACAAGAACGCGGACTGCATCACCACCGAACCGTAGAGGTTCGTCACGTCGTTGACTCGCTTCTGCACGGACTTAGCGGTCGGCGCCACGACCTTGCCACCTTTTGCCTTCGGGACCACTTTGCCAGCTTTGCTCTTCGCCACCTTTGCAATGGTAATCGCCTTGTTCTTGGTCGTGTGCGGCGGCTTCGGGGTGACCGTGCTCTTTCCAGTTGCTGGCGGCGGCAGCTGCAGTGCCTTTTGAGGGGTTGGCGCTGGCACAGGCGGCGGGGCCTTGCACGCCGCTGA